ACCCAGCAAATTGACTAATGACAATCATCTGGCCACACCAAAACAGGTCTGGCCACACAAAAAGAATATCATGCCTCTACTAACATGCCATTGAAGCTGTGCAACACACACCAAAATAGTAATGGCCAACTAAAAGTCATTCAATATATAATACAAAAAACAACTCCATTGAAATGACGTTGTGTACTAGGCCTCAAGGCCAAAAATCCTTGCAATCATAAAAAGATATATAAGAAGGTGTAATTCTAATATGACATAATAATATGACTATAAAAAGGACAAACATGGACACCCACAAAATCCCGCAACTCCCGGTGGAGATTGGCTCGGGCGCTGGACACCGTCGTTGACTTGGGGTGCCGCGCTCGTCGACCTGGTCGGCCACTTTCCGCGCGCTCAAAGGTTCTCCGTCTGCCAGGCGTCGTTGAAGCCGGTCGAGCACCTGCATCCATCGGCGGCCCAACGTGGCGGCCGTTGTCGCGGCGCCACAACGCCACTCCAAGCAAAGTCCGGTGCGGCAGAAGTCTGAGGGATTGTAGTTGTAGGATGTTGTAGGTAGTTGACCGTAAAACTGGGCCAATTTCTTGGAGCCTCCATGCCGGTCCCACGTTCCCTGCTTGGGGGGAGGGGCGCTTGGGGATTGTGAACTGCACGCAACTGCGAGGAAACGTCCGGCAAACAGAAAGCTGTTTCCCATGCCAAACTGACGTCCCTGCAAATCCAGCACCCCTTTACTCCACATTCTCCTGGCTAGAGCCCATCTGAGTTCACTTCAGGTCCAAACAGCCAAGTGAGCTATGTGACTTCCATCCACTTCCGCCAATTGCTGCCAGCCTGACGGCCTTCCCGTGGTGGCAGCTGAGACAGGAAGGAGACCACCTGTAACAGTTGCATGTATGGAGCATCATCTATCGAGGCACCTTGCATAAATCATCCTACCGTTGATGTATCTCACAGTGTTCCATCCACATTTATATAACTTACTACTGACAGGTATTGCTTGATACGGCACAAAGTGTAGGGATCTGTACCCTGCCTGTGTTTGGAGGTCCTCGAAGTCCTCCTCCACGTCCTTGGCGAAGAACGCATCGCCGGGCCCCTCCTCCGCCAGCGACACCGCCGGCGAAGCGTCCGCGTCCGCGTCCGCCCCATCTGCCACATGCACCTCGTCGGGAGCCAAGGCCTGGCCAGTTGGAGTTACATAAATGACTCCAACGGATGAAGGTCGGACGAAGCCCCCTCGATGTTGGAAATATGGATGCAGGAGCTCCAGTCTATTATATCTATTCTTTGTGATTGACTTATGTTGGTATAAAACTATTACTATTTTGTTCAGGGAGCTGTTTCAACACGACTGTCCCCAAGCTGACCACGATGCTGCCATGCTCCCACACCTGCCTCTTCTGCGGAGCCAAAGGTTGGCAGTGGTGTTGCTTCGGGCAGGTCATCCATCACAGCGACATCACGGCTCGTTGCATGCACATGGTCTGAGGGATGGTGCTTCTTTTTTTCCTGTTTTTCACCTGTGGCAGTGGTTGTTGACGTGTTCCACAACGTGTTCTCTCGTTGTCCTAGAGGCTCTTGCGTGTTCGGTGAGGCTCGCTTTTGCTCCTAAAGGCTGGGCTCAGTCATCGGGCAGGCGACAATGAGCCGCCGTGACCAAAATCATCGCATGCACAAATGTTCACCAACATGTGGTTGAAAGAAAACAATGATTGACTATTATTGATCAACAGTCCATGTCTACAGTCTACATTCATGGTTTATGGTCACAGTTGGTCGACGACGGTTGGTGTCGATCAAAGGGGCGCAGTCTGCGCAGCTTGTGCATCACGGCAGGGCGGTGTCGATCGGCGGGGTTCCCCTGCCGAGCCCACAAGCCACTGAATTTTGTTGGGTATTTGCAGGACACATCAGGAAACCAATACTAGTGCAATCTAATTGCTTGGGTCCATCCTATTGCATCCTATGACCAGGTAACGGGACAGACCCAACTAATTGCTATCTTACCCTGTACCTGGCTACATCCCACTGCTGAGGTCCAGAACTTTGCAATCCATTGCAACACTCCCAACTACACTGGCGCCGCCTAAAGCACTTGCCATAGAAACTAGCATCCCAGCTACCACGAGGCTTGTGCCCCTCAGTGTCACCTGCCCCTCCCACTCCGGCCTTTTGGGTGAAGTATGGCTTTCCAAGGTTCAAGATGCAAAGGCATGCCACGCAGGCTGGCAAAGACCTGCTTGGGGTGCAGGTCTTTGCTCACGGGCAAAGAGTTCAAAGAATTTCAGGGTCGGCAGAGTGGTCCTCGTGATGGTCCAAACCGTGATCGAGACGACGCGTTTCAATTCGATTGGCCAACCAACGGTGGCATACGACCGACCGAATTTGAGCAAGAGCTTGGCAATCGGGTTCAAACAAAGATGTTGGCCAATCAACTCATTTCCATATAACATCATGTATGGTCAATTCATGTCCATCATACATCATCAACATTCATCAACTCATTCCATTGGCCAATCAACTCATTTCCATATCCCATGCGTGGTCCACTCACCATTCACACACTGGACTACCCGACCGGCCGAGCCATGCGCCACGATGAGCCGCTCCGGTCCGATGGGGGCATCGCAACACCGTTGTCTCAAATCGACACCGTTGTCTCCACACCTGGACTCCAAGAAGCTGGCCCAGTAGTTTGCGGGGAAAACCTCGCCCTTCCTGGGAGGGAAGGAAGGAATTGAAGCAGCGCCGGGTTGGTAAGAAGGCTTTGCGGGGCGAGTAAAGAAGTTCTTTTGGAGGAAACCTTGAAATCTGAATCATTCAACTTGCGGCATCTTGAGATGCAAACCTTTGGCCCTCATTGTGCAACTGAATGAACATTTGGCTGGTTCTAGAATGATACTTTTGAGCCGGAAATGAAAGTGCTCCACTTCAACAATCTCCCAGCTGAAACAACTTCCTCCAACATACAAACGGGGAATCATCTGCAGGATGTCAATCTTCACGCAAAAAGACTATGGCTATGGCCGATATATAACTAGAATAAATAACCTCCCAACACCCCTAGTGGATCCACCACCAAAGCAAAAGGCTGGAAATCCTGAACCCCATCACATACGATCGCACTACCCGTGGCAGCTGCTTCGTTCCAGCGGCCACAGCATCACAACTGCCAGAAGCACCTGAGCATGGCACCCACAGGGATGACCCTCATCACTCCTGGAAGTGTTTGTGGTCATGCGTGCCTCAGCTGGCCACGCCTTTCATTCCCAAATCGTCGGTTCCAGGTACTGTGGATGCAAGGCCAGGTGTTGAAAAAGCATCCTTTTTAGGGTCTTCTGACCCAGCTGACCCTCACTCCTTTAATCATCCAGAATCATCTAAGTAGTACTGACAGGCATGCGAAAACCACCAGCCACACCCGATCCATGCGAGCGTGACATCATCCGAACATCGAAGGCGGTCTGAGCAGTTGCTGCTGTGGTGCTCGTTGCGGCTGTATTAGCAGGAGAAGAATCAAAAGATCACTAGTCACTAGTAGTGGATTGGGCCGGCCGGCAGCCCTCACGGAGACCCCTGATACTACACAACGACCACAAGACGTCAACTTTCATCTCATTCAACTTCCGGTGGCATTTGAGCATTTGGGTACACTTCTATCTAGAAAGTGGGTCCCGACGTGCTTTGTTTTGCTGCCTTACTGGAATGTGCTTTGTTGCTCGGCATATTGTTGCCGTTGTTTCTTTACATGCCTGCTTCCAGCACCATCAGGCATCAGGTTCTAGTGTTAGTTACCACACTTCGACGACTAGGCCAGCGATGATTGGGACACTTTAGAACTGCTTTGAGGACAAGTGCTATGACCGTCCGACTATCGCTCCTACCTGCATCACCGCCACCACCAGAACTGCTAGAGCTTCTAGTGTCTAAGTGCTCTGTGAAGCCGCGGGCCCCTCCTTTTCTCAGCGCCATCCCGTCAGGGGCTTTGACAGCCCATCGGGCTTCGCCAGCCCGTTTGGAGACAAAAGATGTTTGACTATTTGACAATCTCAAAGGAACTCTGGCAAAAAGGGAAGAACACCTGCTGCATACCTGCTGCCTACCTGCTCCCGAGTTTTTTCCGATCTTAGGCATCTGGTGTTTCATCTTTACAAGCTGCTTTGGAGTCGGAGTCCAAACATCAGCGCCGAGGGGGTACTAGTGCCACTTGAGAGGAGGGAGACACGAAAGGTAGGACAGCGGGAAGAGAAGAGAACGCGAGGGGCAGGAACAAAATGCAATGTTCGACATGGTGATTTATCCCCTCGGAGGCGACCTTTCGTAAATGTTCATATGCACTCTAAATGTTCAAACATATGCTCTCGAAATGTTCCAAAAGGTTCTTAGGAAAACAAACTTGCCCCATGGCTCAGATCATCGGTGAGCATTGAATCGGAACATCATAGGATTTGAACTATCCTGAAACCATAAGAGGCTCACGAAGACGCTCCCCAGGAGAGAATTGACGTGCTTCACAAAACAAACTCTAGGTATGTATCCCCTCGGGGAACACCTTTCGTGATTAGAATTTCATATTCACTCTTTCTAAATGTTCAAGAGGGTTTCAACTATCCTGAAATCATGAGAGGCTCACGAAGACGTTCTCCAGGAGAGAATTGATTTTAGAGGGGGGGAGGGGGGGGGGGGGG